CTGGGTATATATATATTCATTTCTGACTTTACATTTATTGTAGTGCCGAGGGCAATGAATTTGTATCAATTACTCTAGGGCAGGGTGGTTCGAACCCAGGCCCGTGAACCACATGTGGCCCGCCGCTTCATTATCTGTGGCCCGCGTCACATTCGGCGAATAATCAAAAATCGCATTTTGTGTTGTTTCGTCATAAAATTATTCAGAAAATTTTTTTAACATAGTGTCATCACTGATGTCACTGAATTAAATAGTGTTATGGATAGCTGGGGAAACTAGCAAAGTTGAATTATGTGCTTGGCAGTCTAAATTGTTACCTGGCTTTCTAACTTTTTGGTCGGGAATATATGTAACAATATAGGCATCATAGAAAAACTAAAAATCGAATGCGGATTCTATTAGCCTAGAATTGCTAAGCCTGATAACTATGTGTTTTGCACAATAAAAGTGTTTGTTTTGTGTTGCACTGTTTACCTATTCTTGACACTATTGTGGCCCGCGAACAATGCAAAAATAATTTTGTGACCCGCGAAGCCGACAACCTTGGACCACCCTGCTCTAGGGCGATGTTACAAAAAAGCTTGGGAACCACTAGACTAAGATACGGATAAGAACGTTTTAAATCATTATGCTAATATTCTTGGGCTATTGAGCATCATATGTGAATTCCAGCCATCTGCAACTCTTAATTTTGCTTTTGATTTGCTGTAGTACAACTGTTCACTAATATTATTCAAATTCGGCACAAAAATGTTTCGATGATAACTCATCTTTAAGAGGGGTACACCGCTAAGATGTTGTTAATAAAGTCCAGGTGCAAAATTTGTAAGTGCTTTGTTCAACTGGGCGGGCATATGAACGTGTGTTAAATAAGGTAAATATGAATAAACTCTGATTAAAATTAAAACAAACTTGGTAAAGGTAAATTGAGAACCGACTTTATAGCAAAATTGAGATTGTAGCATGACTTTTTGAATGTCCTTTATATCATTGGCCATGTCTGGAACAAACAAATCTAAACGAGTACGAGTAAAGCGTTCTCCGCAAGTCGCACAATTTTTTCATGTGGGTTGCAGGTTGCACAACCTGCTAAACATTAGACTACCGCGCCAACAATTTTTTTCAAAAACTCCTAAAATCGTTAGGAATACGCTCGTCACCCCATGGTTATGTGCGAGAGGATTTCCGGGGTAGTTATACAATGGCTATGTCCCTACTAAAATGGCCATGGTATTGCGGAACCCCTGATATCATTTTTCGTTTTTTATGGAACCCCAAATAACAAAAATAAAACACGAAATACTCGTAACACGAAATATTTGTAATTCAAATATTTCTACCTCAACAACAAAACAGAAAGAAGGTAACAAGCGTGAAATTCAATGACTAGGTTGTTCTTGCATTTCCCTTACAATCTTCTTGAATCGTGACTCCACGGCGCTCAAAGCAATTCTCATACTTATGTCTACACTCTTTAAACAACTTCTTTTTTGTTATTAATAGTTGTTAAAGCGAAAAATGATGATTTACACACATAGGTATTGGAAAATTGGCACAGAAGTTTTAATGCTTCTTTTGCACTTGTTGTACTCTCTTTGTGAAGGGAAATCCAAAAATATTCCTTCCCATTTTTTCGAAGGTTTCCTCAGAATTAATATCATTACGGATATCTAGGAGTCTTTCTTGCTGTTGCGCACTTAGAAATTCATCCAAAAACGGAAAGAAAGAATAATCATTTTTTGCAACTTTACTGGCCCAGCAGTCAATTTTTCTTTTACACGGAACCCCTAAGAAATTCTATAAACTCACGGAACCCCACTGCATGTGTTGCGGAACCCTAGGGTTCCGCGGAACTCCTGTTGAAGAGCACTGTCGTAGATAGAAGGGCGACACCATAAACGGCAGCCTATGATATAACTTAAACATTAGTCGAGATTCTATGAACACCTCTGGCATTTTATGGACTTTTATACAGGGTGTTAATTAAGTAATTCAAAATTAACAGATGTAAATGTTAAATGTTACTTAAAACTTTCAACGACTGATACCTTTTAACAATATTGAGTTACGGTGAAAGGACATCCAAACATTTCACGACTGGTGTTTTTTAACATGTATTTTTTCAACGTTACCATGACGGAAAATGTTACCTGTTGTGTCCCTGACACTGACTAATGAACTATACAAGAATCCAACTTGATAGAAACATCAGTTTAATGAAAACAAACAATAACAACGCTTAGCAAGCAAACTTATAACAGCGTACCGAATCACTAATGTCACATGAGGTTCTACCAGAATGATGCAATAGTAAACAATTAACGCCAGCTAGTGGAAACATAAAATATATAAAAAGTCAATACACAACATTACCTCAATTTTGCGTAACTTTTTTAACACCCTGTATTTGGACTCGGTTTCTCTTTAATGTATATTAATCGAGTTTTCTCCTTATTTGTAAAATTTTGTTGATTTTACTAATTTTTTAATTTTATTCCAACTTGAATATATATTTAATTGAACGTCAATCTGAGTTAAGCCTAGCTAGTGTTTAGACCAGAGGTGCACCGCGGGCCAAAAATTTTGCCCAATAAGTCTGGCGGGCCATGTAAGTGTGACGTAAAAAGTTACATTTTATGAACAATATTTACAGTACTATAAACCAAAGGTGGAAAACAATATACCTCGGGCAAAAACTAAATTTAACCGCAATCTCAACAAAATCCCTGAGCTATTTTTAGCTGAAGCATCACAATTTCGTTTCAGTTTGGTTGTGGCAGCATCAGGCGGGCCAGATTGAATTACCCAACGGGCCGGATTTGGCCCGCGAGCCGTACTTTGCCCATGTCTGGTTTAGACGATTACGAGATAAATTTGTCACATCGTTACGCCGCTAACGACTTTTTTCTTTCCCATATAATTTGAAATTTCCTCTCAGCTTTTAATGATGCCGCCAATCGAAAGTAAAACAATAAATGCATTACAATCACAAAATTAAATAAATTCCAGTTAATTTCATTTAAAATGTTGTGTCATCGCGAATGGCTCAGTTTTACGTCATCGCAACAACAGTCATCGACCATGTCTGATTTAGACTAGTCCAAATGATCATTTGAAGTATTTGATTGTATTAAGGCTGGTTGGTGTGTGTTTGCTGCTCTGTTTTATATCTGTTTAAATCCGTGGATTTCTTCTGGAAAAAGGGTTGGATTAAGATGTTTTCTCAATAAGTTACAAAACGTGGACAATTTTAAGCATATGGGATCACGGGATTAGATCAAAAAACTCAAACAACTGGATTTGGGATGTGAAATGGAACACGCTGAATCACAGTGTGATGAACAAATTGGCGTTGACGGTCACTGATGATCAAGTCCGGCTGCAGTATTGAAACAGAACATTCACAAGGGGTAAAGAAAATGAAAAAAATCATAGAAAGATTATGCGGATAATGTTTTTGTTCAAGAGATCAACATACAAACATTCAACCATCGCACAGGACATTTAGCATTAAGCTAATTTCAAGCAGACATGTGCTGGTACTCAACTGTCAGACTGTAGAGTAATCTGGTGTCGAGGGTTTCATTTTGTGATGATCAATAGACCATATTGTAGAAAAATTTTGAGAATTGGAAATAATATTATCCGTTAATCAAGGTTTACATTTGACGCCAACGATCTTCGGTTTATAGCAATATCACAAAACAAACTTTCAATTAACAGCTCATTGCTGGCATATACTGTACATATTGAATTTATCATTATTACTACAACAGCTTAGGTGTTTCCGAAGTATAACAGCCCGGAAGTTCAATACATTCGAGTATCTTTTGTTTGATTATTCCTGGCCCAAGCCTCGTTTTTTACTAGGTTTGTGTTTTTTGTAATTTATGTTTGGACAAGTCAGTGTACATAACATTTTACCTCAATTTTGCGTAACTTTTTCAACACCCTGTATTTGGACTAGGTTTCTTTTTAAGGGCTCCATAACATCAAAAGTTTTGAAACGCCTGATCCAAGAGTAAAGATCGGCAAGAAATGTTTTTCAGATTATTCTCCTTTCAATAGTAAGATTATATCTTCGACCCATACCTGAACCCCTGTTCAGATTAGACAATGATAAATAATCACTATGCTCTGTCGTCACTTTCGTGAATCGATTTTGAAAGCTTCCGTGAACGGTTTAATAATACGTTGCGTTGCGTGGGAGAAAGTTAACCAAAGACCATCGCGCTTCACTCAGGATGTCACGTCATGCGAGCGTTCTGTATTGCAAACTCGCGTTAAACATAGTTAATATGCCGCTACTCATTATATCTTGTATGGTTTAGATAGGCAAGAGTTATTGATACTCCAGTTAACTAAAGTTTGATGGTTATTTTAATCAAAATATTATACCGGTGATTGCCTAGTTCTGTATTCCGCTGAGCATAATATTCCAATTTCCAACTGTGTAGGGTTTCCATGATATAGGCAAAGCGGGGTCATAATCAGAAGCGTCAAGTTCGATCATATTGCAACGGAAAAGATCAGAATTTCCAGTAAAATGACTTCTTTGTAAGATTTATGCCAATTGTTTCGAAGAGTTGGGCCTTGCGTTGCCAAATTTGAGATTAATCTTGGTCGCAGAGATTTTATAGGAGCTCGCAGAGCGGTAGGTTGAACAATAACTTTTATTCAAATTTTAGCTGCAATAAAGAGTCTTGTAATGACCAAGTTAACGGCCGGAATCCGAGTTAAGGTAGCGTATGCCAACATATATATTTTCAATTAGAATTGAGACTGAATATACTTTTAGCTACATTCGCTTTAAGCTCGCTATATTTGCTCAAAAATAGGTTTTTGCAGAGATATATTTAGCATAAGTAGGGTCCAGAATACGGTTTATATATGAAAACCTCTGAATAGCTACATTAAATGGCTTGGGTATTATTTGTTAAATAAGAATATATTATTTTGGACCATACTCAAAACAGATCTGATGTATTAAATGAGATTGGAATATTTAAATTTTTCTGAAGTGAGAAATTTGATAAAATGGCTGAAGGCGGGCGCCAACCACCAGTTATTAACGTTCAACTCCCAGCTATAACCGTGAATTATCAGGAAGGAACAATAGTGTCTGGAGACAACGTCAGGTAAGAAAGCTTGTGTTTTTTTACTCATATACTAAAACAGTGGGCTATAAATATATTTTCCTGTCAGCTCAGTCATGAATTCAAGTCTGGTGCCAACTGTTATCGATTCTCAAAATAGCTGTCTTCAGTGGTAGTTTGCAACTTTTTGCTGCGCATAATTTAAAGATTGGAATCTTGCTTTGAGAAAACTTGAAAATGAAAATTAATTTTGAAACCAAAATCATAGAAAACATAGATGTAAGTAATAGTTTCACGAATTTTGGTGACGAACCAGATACTGTGTAGAACACGAGTGCCTCCAATACCGCATTATATCCTATCAACCATTTTTTTAAAATTTGATTTCCAGGAAGAAGACGGATGTTAGGGCCGCAGAAATCGGTCAGATTGTCGTCCCAACTTCAGGTATGTCCTCCTGAACAGTCTTTCTTATATTCTCAGTAGCAGTTTGCTGAAAAATATTCAACTAATTCTCAGGAAACTCTCAAGCCGAAGCTACTGAGCTACAACACGATTCTATTCCAACAGTTTTTAAAGACTTCGAGGAAGAGAACGCAAAAAGATCTGGTTCTGATAGAGGTCGGTTAATCCCCATATAAGCCAAAGCATTAGTGTAACAAACATGGTTTATAATCTCCTTCCCAGTAGCAGTCTCATCATTTGAACACCTGGTCGTGATTTATTAATGAATTTAATATTAAAAAGTGAGTTTATCTGGACGAAGCATAACAGTCCGAGTTATTAAGTGGCGAATCCCAAAACTACGGAAAAGGAGATATAGCTTTCCACCTTTGTCGAAAGCCATCTAAGTTGGAACTCCACAGAAGGGGTGGCTGGCTTTTGAAATAACTCCCACTTCTCTGAGTCATTGTGTCTTCTATTGACTGGAATATTTCTCATTTTCTTAGGATCGAACGATCAAACATCAACTCATCCTTCTCCCCATGACGTCACTGATGACCCTGGAAGCAGTGACGTCACTGATATTCTTGGAAGTGTGAATCTCACTGAAGGAATGCATTTCGTTACATCTGGTAAGCAGGCTCAATTATAGACACAACATACTTCTGCTAGTAGGGCAATACATTGCAACCATTGGGAAATGCTGAGCTATGAACGATATCACGGACATTCTATTCTGCTTGTGGCTTATTTCAAATATAACGATATTGGTGGTCGAAAATCACCAAACGAAATTTCAGCCGCATTCGCCAAAATTCGTAACTTTGGCATGAGCTGCTCTACTATAACACCTGCAAAGTTTATAGTTACTGTGATCGTTAGACTTTGTTTTAGTTGTTAGGGTTATTGCATTCAGATTATTACTTATCGATCTTAAGATCGGTAAGTATGTTGATAGGTATTTGTCTGTTTGTTTGTCTGTTAGATGCACGCGATATCTCACGAAAGCGAGATTGAATCTGCTCCAGATTTTGCATGTGCATTTATCTTATCTAGTACCAGAAGCCTATTGATTTTCGATGAATTATGTCGTATAATTAGCGAGTTATTAATTAATCAGTTATGGGACACACGGTGTCACTATGGAGTAAGAGCGCTGTTTTTGGGGATCCCCTAACCTCCGATCGATAAGTCTTCGGTCTCCGACCGATATTCTCGGTTATATGTTTATAGCTTGAAAAGAAATTATCGCTCAACCGAATGTTCTTTATTTGCAGTTTATTAAGATATTTTACTTAGTTGTGATTTAAGTTTAAGATTCGTGTGGTTATCGGTTACTATTATTGACAACAGCAGAATCAACCAAATAAACGCAAAGAGCTCTCTTTCTTCGCGACCAAGCTAATTTTTTCTTATTTGGTATGACCGACTCTATTGCATACGCCTCAGCCAATCCTTGTACGGATCAGAACAGAAACTGAAGGGACTTCAATGGCATTATAGTTGGACAGCCTATTAGTATTGTAAAAGTTTTCAGTTGAATAACTCTTCGATTAGTTCATGAAATTTATTTGAAATAAATTTCTGTTTCTTTAGAGAATATAAGACGGTTGATTCACCAATCCAAGTTCGCGGACGCGCTCATTACTTCACAAGATATTTCAACTTCTCAAGAACAACAATTTATGATGTCAGAATGCTACTGTCAACTTGGAAGACCGGATAAAGCATTGAGGTGCATTGAAGCGTTACAAAGAATAATGACATCATCACCAAAACCTAGTGTTGATGACGTAATCAAATTAGTTGATAATTATATTTCTGATTTGTCTCATATTCGTGCATTGATTTTACTCTCTTGTTGTGCTAAGTTGTATAAGTACAATTCGAACCCGAATAATTCGGTTGGTGGGATTTGTGATTGCTCATTAAAGTGTTGCAACGTGATCAAAGCTATGGTCAATAAAGGCGATAAAATGAAAGTGATTGCGAGAGATGTTGGTTTAAAAATAATCACTGATATGTTGAGAGAGTTGAGATCAGTATCAGGAGCTGATAAGAATAAGAAGGCGGATATGGAGGCAGCGTGCTTGAAAAATATTGGTTATTGTTACGATGAAGTTGGTAAGTATAAGGAAGCAATAGGGTTTTATAATAAAGGTTTGGATTTGATGAATCGAACGTTTGGTTCGAACGCTGCAAAATATAGAATGTTTGGAGAGCTATTACACAACATTGGTTATGCGCATTATAATCTCAGTGATTATTCCGGGGCTGAATCGTTCTATTTGCAATCTCTGAATGCGCATGAAAAGGTTGCGGATTGGCCTAGTGATAAGGAGAAACAGAAAATGACAGAAGGTACAAAGAACAACTTGAAAATTACTCGATACAAAATGAGGAATGATAAATAAAAACCACAAGTCTCCGTTCATTCATAAAAATATTGCATTCCTTGTGATCGTATTTTAACAATATGTAGATTGTATAAATAACTGTTGATTTTGAGAGCTGTATGGATTTTTTGTGCATTGTAGCCAATCGCCCGATTAATTTTATATCACGTGATTGCTTCCGTTGTATTGTGTATTGGTTATATATCTGCTATTTCTAATATAACATGAATTTTATATATTCACAGCAATATTGAGTTCATTTTGAGCCCTGATGATAGTAATCGCTCCATTGACCCCAGCTTTGCAAAATTCACAGTCAAGTTCTCAAAATTATTCAGTCAAATGACAAGTTTTGTTCGTCTCCCCTTTATCAAATTCTCTTGAAAAATATTTGATTTATGTACTTTTAAAAAACGCATCAAATTACCGACTTTTCATAGTTAATTCTCATATTATTTCCATCGACTCATTCAAAGCATGAAATCTGCCATTTGACAGGCAAAGTCTTGGTTTCAAACCTTCTTACAAATTATACTGAATGTATTAATCGCTCCATTTGATATCGATGTCCAAGTACAAGCTTGCATGTCATTGCTCCTAATCTACCTGACAAATGACTGACATCCCATGTCCGACAATTTTTATTGATATTGATTGTATTGTAATAAAATGCATCAAATTTAATGTTATTTCAAGGTAATTCGAGCCAGTTACTGTAATTTTACTTTAATTCGAGAGAATAACTATAATTGTATAGCAATGCAATTTACTTACTGGTATTGTATAATTATTCAAGTCATACTGTTATTTTACTCTAATTCATTGAGCGTTTTGATGATTTTTGTAGTGATAGATGTAGTCATTGAATGAATATAATCGAACCTTTTGACTGAGGTGTTGTTTAGTTTGTGGGAACTTTTCAGAAACAATCTTGATTAAAGAACCTCGCTCTCCTATATATTCCCCAGATTGTGGAATGGGTGAAATAGGAGATAAATATACAGGTGCTTGTCTAGTGCCTTGTTTGGAGCAAGTTATAGGAGTGCTATATAAATACAGGAAGTGATTACATTGGCCGCTAAAATTGAAAACCTGTAAACCATGCCAAAGCATAATTTTTTGAGTATATGAGATGGGCTTCAGTAGCCGGAAAAGATTGGTAACTCATGTTTTAGATATTAAGAAAGACTGACTCAAAAACAAAAGCCATATCGGGTTCGAAATCTGCCTTTATAAATTAAACAAGATAGCTTTGCTCAAATATATAGACACGTAGCACCACATAAGTTCGATGACGTCAAGCAAAAAATAATAGTAATAGCCCTCTAGCAATAATCTTTACTCACTGAAAATTTCAAAGTAATTGGTCCAGTAATCAAAGAGAAAAGCGACTTTTTAAAAACGTGTCAAAGGACAAGAACAACAAGAATAAGAACAACAACAACATAATATTGAGACGATCGCTATGTCCACTACGTGTCCGATAAATTATTTATGACGTCTTGTTTGTTCTATGACTGCAAAGTCAACTCAAACTGACTTAACTCTAAATGCACTCCAATATTTATAAGATCATGCATCTGAAACAAATTACTGGTTTACTATTCCCAGAGACGCATCATGGCCTTCAGAGGCCCCAAGCACTCAAGACTTTTGTGTCCTTCAAATATATAATAATAATGAAACTGCTGTTGTGTGTTATCTATAATTGAATGAGTAAGTTTCCGAATATATTCATTACTGATTGAAGGCCGAGTTATCATACCTACGAACCATTACAAGGAAGGTTTCGGATGATACTTGAGAAAGAAAAAAGGCAAAATTTATTTCTACCGGGCCAATTCTAAGGTCTGAATCGTCTGACCAAAAACTCGGTTATGAAAATATGCCGCCTTTACTTAGTATCCCAAGCACGTGCTTATTTTACTCAAAATGGTTAATTCAGCCCCGGGTACAATGGGATAAACAAATTTCATTCCTATTCTATATTTTTATTCGTTTTGCAATGCGCCGCGATCGGGGATTGCTCCTGGGAAATTTTGTCTTGTTTGTAAAATTTAGATAGAACAGTTTTTAAATTCTAATTCTCAGATTAAGCTAATTTCTTAGTTTACTGAAAAATAAATTTAGTCTCTATAATTTAAAAAATACATCGATAACGTTTTGCAAGATAATTTTATTCACACAAAGTAGAAAATAAAATTTTCAATTCTTTTTTATGAATTTCATCTTTTTAGTTCAGTTGTTTAAAAATAAAGTGAATTCCGAAATATAATAATATTCAGAAAAACATCTAAAAAATAAAATACCAGAGCAAAGTTAATGAAAAAATTGTATATCACATTAATTCGCATACAAGAAAAAAGAAAAGAAAAGAAATTGAATTTTTTTGTCATGATTTAAAAGCCCGGGAGAGGGGGAGGAGGCATTTGAATTATTAGAGATTAAAGATAAGACAATGCTGCAATTGCTTTTATTTCGATAACATTTTCTTACATTTTGTTCAAATCACACTGAAATTTCAATTTGTTTATCATCTTTATTTTACCTTAAATAATCAGGAATAGACTTTTTTGTAAAATATCCTATTTATGGAATGATTCAAACCAATTCAAACATATAAAATACCTGAGGAAATAAAATAAAAGAATTATCGATCCTAATAATTAACACACAAGAAAAATAAATATGTCGACAGGGGTGTGGGTAATAAAACGTGTTTATTGTAAAGCGAAGACAATGATGTAATTGCTGTAAATAATTCAAGTTTTCTGATAAAATTGAATTCCTTATATTTTCTTCAGGTCACAACGAAACTTTAATTTAATGAAAAACATGTCAAATTTAAATCTAAAATACAAATTGAAAATTCAGACACAAAAGTTTGGGTGAATACACCTTATAGTTGTCAAAGATTTCTCAGCGAAAATCTTTTAAATATAGAGCTCATCCAATCTGGGAGAAATATATCCATCGAAATATATGGACGTAGCAATTAATATAATAGGTTAACAACAATTGGATTCGATAAATGTGAAAACTATATGCAAATTCTTTTAGTCAAGAACGACTCTAAAAACAATTATCCTCGACACATCTTTTACTCAAAGTGCTTTTAATCGAGAGGCGGCCTTCTGGAAAGGTATTCGTCGGTAAAAAAAGTTAAAATAGAGAAAACGAAAGAAAAAGTAATGTAAATCCATTCCGGCCAATTACGTTAAAATCAAGACTATTCTGTACTTTTGTTAAATGGTAATTTTGAGTTTACTAAATGAATCTAATTTGCATAAAACGATTCATTGCAAGATGACAAACTTTACGGTCTGTGGAGAAACAGTTGGCCAAGTTCCCACGAAAGAGAGAGTCTGAATTTGCCAGAATTGTAGATTTTCAATGGTTTCAATATAAGTCGAAACTTCCTTATAAATTGAAAAAACATAAATTTTACTGACCGTTCGTAACTGTTTATTAAAGAAAGATTGCATTTACCATTGTTTTTATTATCAAAATAAGATCAGAATCGATTGCAAATTTTCCCTGATTTCCCAGACTTATAAAATGACGATGTCTTTTTATAATTTTTGAAACTTTGTAAATATTTTAAAGTTACAAATACGAAGCCATTATCTAGGAAGTATTAAACATTCTTGTAATTCACTGAAATTTCTTGAACGTGAAATATATATTTGAATAATACATATAGCCAACATTTAAAAATGATTTACACCACAAAGAATCAAATTGGGTTATATTATTAAATTCAAACATTTTCTGAGCACATCTACAAAAAAAGGTGAGTTCAGTAGAAATCTAACAGGGAATGCAGTTTTATTGAAATTCCTACCTAAGAAAAGCCCGACAGACTGACAATTTGAATAAGTGAGCATTTAATCGCATCGATTCAACATATATGCGTCAGTTTTGAATTTAGTGGAATTGATTACGTGGAGTAAATAAGAGAACATAGTCACCGATTCATCGGTCTCTTTTCAATGTAGTTTCAAATATTATCTTAAATATCATGCGAACATGCAACCGTCCAACAGGCCGATTGTGATCTATGTATCTCAGGCTCCTTGTGATCTATTTATCCCAGTTCGAGCAGAGTCAAAACAAACGATACTTATTTTTCAAAGTATAAGTATATCCCCGTGCAGGACCTTGTTCAAAGTAGGAATTTAATATTCTTCGAGCTTTTATGCCAATCTATCAATGTGACGTTTTAAAGGATTTTATCAATTAAAAGTATCTTTAAATTACCCGTCTTGAACACGTTATTAATAGGTATTCTGCACCCTAATTATATCTCATAATCACATCATGATGCTTCAATGTCAAATAACAGTACACCACGATTGGCAAACCGTTGGACGACAAATATTTAAAACGACATATTAATCCCAATATATAGATAACAAAAAGCAGAAGAATGCCTAAAACGTTCCAACACCCGCAACGAAAGAGAGGAGCGGAAACCGCGCTAAAATACATGTGTGTATTATCTGTAGGTACGTATTATGGTAAGGTTGAACAGGGTATTTCTTATGGTTGTTCAACTGTGGAAATAGTAAGTTTTGATAAAGCTACTGGGGTGATTAACAATTAAGATTAAACTACAGTAATTCTACAGTCTTTGTTCATCGATCATTCAATAGACAGAGTTACAATTCATTTTCACAGATGCCTCCGTTATATTCATTATAAGCACGATGATTAAAAATCCCTTGAAGCCTGAATTCCGGGTCCCGACTGACAGCAACAATAATATGTGTGTTACTAGCATCGGAAGACGGAAAATCAGGACGCCAAATATCAAGTGGCAGAGACATAGCTTGTTTCGTCGCTGAATACAGCTGGCCTTCCTGTTGAAACAAAAAACATATTTTGATGAAAAATAACAAATGACAGTTTGATAATATAATTGAGAATGGTTAAACCAGTGATCCTTGTCATATGATCTGACAGAGCAAAACTAACTTATTTGTCTCCAGTAAGAAACTGAATGAATCGTGACATCATCACATGATTATTCTGCTCAGTCATTCTTCGGTGGTTACCGTTGGCGGATAAAAATTGAATAGAATATAGACACTTAGTTTGGATTAGTATTCTCTGATTTAGTAACAGAGTTGTAGAGTTGGATCGTTACACGAGTGTTGGATGCTAATTGTTTAATTTCCCGGAAACATTGCATGGTGACGATAGTTTGTGATTAAAAATGAAAAACGCTCGCAAACGAATTTTTTAAATCCAGTGGGAGAGTCAAATTTGATATCTGCCTGGAAACGTTAGTGTTATAAAATTATGAATGACCGGGTTTAATGCAACTTCTCTCCTATGATAAGCTTTATGGATTTGACTTATAAATAAATGTAATAGCACATGATAACACGGAAACAATATTGGCCACATTTTATAATAAGTTCATGTATGGCCGCAATAAGCAGCATGATTCAGACTCGACGTACCCTGTAAGTCATTCCCGTATGAACATAAAAAACTGACTGTCCATCGGGAACCATTGGTCGTAAGTAATCTCGAAGCAGGTTGTAGTGTGTGACGTCATATATGGTAGCAAGATTGTCTCCGCATTTAGACATAGAGACGCTTAAATGCACGTCCCGCGTGTCAGTAACAATCGCTCGAAAGCATTTCGATTTATAGACAACCGGACATCCTGAAATAAAAATACCGTTCATGAGAGTTTGAAGTCAGATATTCAAGCAACAATGATTAAGGATAATATTTATTTCTACGTTTTAATTAATGACTTTTATTCATTTTATGCTGAATAATTTTCTTTTATAGTTTTTTACAATAATATGATTATGAGCCCTTTAGTAGTTCTGATCATACGTCATTTTGCTTGAAGCAAGGTCACGCAAATCCACTCAGAAATAAACATTTTTCTGAGCAAATTACGGGCAGCTACTGAGCTATTAAAGCTAATGAAATAACGCAGGATCATACAGACCGATGGGACTTGAAAACATTGAGCTAAATATGATCAGGAAAGAGCTATACTGATTCACTGAACGTACTGAATTTTACATAATTGGAGTTTTTAATAAAACCCGCCAAAGAAGGTGGTAAACCGACAAGTACCACGAGGAAAAGTTAAAAACTACGAAAAGAGAGCCCAAGAACATGTGAAACCGTTGAGAGGCAAACGGAAGAATATGTGGCAGTAGTGGCACCATACCTAATTGAAATGATCTCTTTCAAATAAGACTATTGGGTGCCATATTGACAACAGATTAGAAATAGGGATGGATATATGGTCTCAAACACTATTTGAATAGCCCCTCCATACAGGTCTATTAGGCTGCCGTATGGCAGAGAGTTAGTGATGAATATATGGTCCCAGTCATCATATAAATGGCCTCCTTCATGTATGTAGGTATGTTTATTTGCCTCAAAAATGTAACAGTATCTGCATAATATTTAAACAGTAAATCGGAGACGGGATACATGTTCAATACCTTACTGGCCTAATACACAGATGTGCGACATGTACCCCTAACAATATTAACAGCAGTTTAGGACTGCTGCGTTATACTAGGGCAGAGTTTCCCAACCGAGTCCGCGGTCTCAAATGAGTCCGCGGAGCGTTTGAATGAGTCCGCAACGAGTCAGAAATTCAATGCGGGCCGCAAACGTTTTCGCAAAACATAACTATAAAAACGATTAGATAGATAGATAGTTTATATCGATTTACGTTAGACTTTACATAAAACGCAAGTTTATTCACATAACAATGATCGAGTCAATAATTACTGGTTACTAAGCAGGGCTGGGCATATTCGAATATTCAACTATTAGAATAGCAATTTGCTCATTACATTTAATGGTCCGCGACCGATTAAAAACGCTTTTTTAGACATTACAAATCGCAAAATTTCGGGTGCTACCGTAGTATATGTACCAGGGCATTTTCCCTTATGATACTTTGCTTTACTGCTTCCACTTTGGTACGTACAGTACTGGAGCGCCGTAAGTGTTGTACGAACAGCTCACATTTGTCGAATTCACAAAAATACGAATCAAAACAAAATATAATCGGGCACTTTACCACGCATTTTTTTGTTCACGGATTGTCATGATATTTTCCGAGTAGTATTGCTTTTACTTCGTCAACACAACCGCAGATTAAATGATCACAATTAAATCAAAAATAAAGCAAGACGGTGAATATGTATTTTGATTTACTAATAAACTTCAATTATATTTTAAATAAGTACTAAATCAACTTGTACTTTCTGGAAATTTATACCAGATAATAGGATTTTTCTAACGGCGATAACAAATTCGCGAGATCGCAAAAAATATGTATCAAAACTAAATATAATCGTGCAATATATTCTAATATTAGTATGTTCGCTGATTGCCGTGGCATTTTAAAGAAGTAATGCTTCCATCTTGTCGTAAGTCGACGCAACCGCGAGTTACCATAAACACAATTAAATTAAAATAAAAAGACATTTCAAATTGTCGTCGTTGTCATGAATTGAATATTGTGCGACAGAAAAGTCGGCTCTTTTAATTAACGAACGTGTAATTGCAGCGAATTTCCGATTTTGAAATTCGTTAAAATTCTGTTGTGTTTGGTTTTATTACTTTTCCACACAGAGTACGGTTGCAATAAACGCACCTTGAGTCCGCAAAGGTTTTCGCTGGTGAGAAAATAGTCCGCGACCAAAAAAGGTTGGGAAACGCTGTATTAGGACAACAGACATGAAATTGACTATACGATTAAAACCCTAGTAAAATACACAAGACAAAGAGGTACGGCACAACGGCGATATGTACAATATCAGTTTATGGCACGTCCATATCCCAGATTCCGGTGTGAAAAGATGGAGATAGGGTATGGGTCGCTGAATTGATATGTATTTACACTATTAACACTAAGTCCCACGAAATATACAGGGCTATTAGTCTGTCATATGGAGAGCACGTTAGGAACAGGGATGGATATATGGTCCCAATCACCATTTAAATGACGAGGGCTATTGGGCTGCTATATTTATAGCAGGTTGAGAATGGGGATGGATATTTGGTTGTAATCGCTATTTGAATGGATTCCATATGGACAGCATGTTAAAAATGAGGATGGTTGTTGAATGGTCTTAATCGATAAAGTAATCAGTAATCAGTAATTTATTTTTTCACCATTCTAAAGCACACAATGTGAATACACAATACAAGAAATAGGAAATATGGTACTTTAGGGCGAAGGGAGGCGCGAGACACCAAGACTGGTGATCGAGCAGCGACACCCATGACAAGTCTAACAGCAATAGATAAATAACAGTAATATATAAATCAAACAAACAATAAATATTAGAACAGGTTTACGTTAAAGTAAGTCGAGGCGACCTGCATACCCAAAAGACACCCGATCCAAGGAGAAACGGATAACGACTCCGAGCACCGTCTTGTGAGTAACCATGGCAACGTCAGCGAAATCTTATACTGCGGAATACGGACACTGCCTGAGTTGAGCTTGAATTCATATTTATCCCGCGAGGGGAAGCCGATAACTTGGCATATTTATATTATTATAAAATAGTTTTGTTTGTCGCAGTTAGGGATACGAGAGTGTGTAAACAAGTGGAAGTATAGTGGTAAGGTGCTTTGGTGCCGGAGACGTCGTGTGAAGAGGGAAGAGGGATAAAGAAAAAAAAACTTACTCAGAGTGCAAACAGGTGTTGTGGACCATGAACCGCCAGCTTTGCATGTTCCCGTCTGTCCTTCTTCCAAAATGTAATCCTTGTTGCAAGCGTAACTGACCTCTTGATCCTCATTGTACAAGTCTTGCTCAGGAGAAATTGTTCCGTACTCAAGATTACGCTTCGCACATGGTGTAGCTGCAAAATATTCAAATGATAAAAAAGTTTAACTTAACCCGCAGAGTATTTGTTTGTGAACATTGTGAATCTGTAAAAAATTGTGTCACTCGAAACAAGGCTTTATACAAGCCGCCACTGATACACTTGTGCAAGCAGGTTCAGAATATACAGCAGCACTGTCAACCCCAATTTATCAACTTGACTGAAATGTAGTTTGAACTAGAGATGTATCGGTATCGGGTATCGGTATTGGCAATATCGGCCAATTTTACGGTATCGGTAATGTATCGGTATCGGCTAAGTTTAGACCGATATTTTCAATATCTTTAGCTTCTCAATATGATTCAGAAGGTTCTAAAAAATAGGTTAGAATACTGATCTTGAAATTATTTTTTGCTTGGATAGATCGTGAACTATGAGCCATGGACGTTCCCGCCCCCGCTATGTAAAAACGGAAATCGAATTCTGACCTGTTTTAAGCCATTTATCAGCCAAACTGGCTCAATCAATTTGAGTATTTTCGCTGGAAAATTTTTGTATTACAATTTTTATTATTACATGGCAATTATGAAGAAATATATCAATCGAATATTAGATGTTCCAATGTGTAAAATTTAAAATACGACGTTATATAGGCACAAAATCCTGTGCACGTAACTCAATGTATCAGTTTCGAACGATAAGTAGGCTAAATTTATTTATTTAACCATTAACAGTAGCCAAATCCTAATAATTTTCTAATTGAACACCGAGATTACTAGCGCCAGTGCTCAATGCATCTGAATCAATCAACACATTTTGGATCCCAGACATCTACTTCTTAATATGTGATATTTCTCTTTTTTCATCCGAATTAATGTGCACCATTAATAATGCTCAAAGACCATTGTTTTAAACCGTCTGCCCTGCACAATTGAGGTGATAATTACATAGTATCGGAATATCGGTCGTGTTCGAATATCGGTATCGATATCGACTTTTTAAGCTGGAATCGGATCGGTATCGGCGACAAAAGTGGTATGAGTACATTTCTAGTTTGAACCCGAGAATATCGTAGGGAACCTTCAATGTTCTAACAACTTTGCAATTCACTAAATAAATCTTGATGCACTTACCTAGACCAGGGGTCACCAAACTTTTTTAACCGCGGGCCGGGCAGGACTCAAACTGTGTTGAAACGGGCCGGACAAATATTTTTGTCAATGCAATACAATAAATTCACAAAAAATGGGAAATCCATTAAATTTATTCAACAATATATATTCTTCATTTCTGAAGACTTGAATATTAAATTATATATATATATATATATATATCGCAGAATATAGATCGAGATCATCCTAGGAAAACAATATACAAGATTTCTATATATAGACGACAATCCTGAGTTTAGCTGTTATCAAAACGTTGCAGTCATGAATTAGGAATGTTACAAAATCCGCTTTTTCCCGCCCAAATATGTACGCATAACGTCTGCTAAGTACTATACGCCGTGTCGGAATACGGCCCATACAAACGACACCGGACTGCCTGCTGTAGCATGGAATTCCATGAAATTTTGACATAATTTAGATAAAATAAACTACTATTATATGGTATTTGGTTTTCATTCATTAGCGCATAAATTTCCCAACATTCGGAGCTTTTAAAATTACGCTCAAGTTATACGTGGTGCAAATTGATGATATTGTTTATGGACACAAATAAAATTTATGTGGACTTGTGTATTTCTTTCATAACTTGATACTTACCAATATTTATGAAGTCTGTACATTCAGAACATCGTTATTTATTACCCACAATAAACCACTGTAAACCTATCATGCACAACTCCAGCGTTTATTTGCGACGATCTTTCGGCGGTGTCAAGACTGTTGCCAGAATAAAATCTTGAAATAGTCTCAATATTTCATAGATGTGACGCAGATCGAAAGATTAGTGATTGATATGTGTTTTTTTTTCATATTTTTCACAGTTCTTTTCAAAAAAATGATACACTACTTATGGAACAATAGGCCTGTCGTGCGGTACTAAAATTCCGATATCTTCGTTATTTCTTGACCGTTTTTTATAAACTGAGTAATGTTTTCTAATTTTCACTCAGATCTATCCACTTCTTATTTTAAAAAAAGGGGAAAGTCTTGTAAATGGTGTATATAACGAATAAACGAGAGGTATTGTATTTCCTTACACCGTACCTGATGATTTATTTTATTACTAATAATATAATTGTATGGGTGGCAACAGACTCTGATGACCCCAAAAGGTCGTATCGTTCGTTGTCTCCCAGTCTTATACCGAAGCATCTGTTTTTTTTAATATTTATATATTCATGCATGTAGTGTGAGTTTCATGGTTTGACAAATAAAAATAAACTCTCTCTCAACTCTCTGGCGCAGTTTTTATTCAAATCGGATGAATTTTATTTTTTTTTGTAACTTACCTACATGAATATCAGCAATTAAGCAGTACAAAAATTAGTGTGGCTTGTGAAATTGGAGCAGTACGCGAGGGATTACAGTACTGTTAGCGCAAAATGCACATTCGACGTTCATTTTAGCACAAAGACGTGAAGTTTAGTCGAATGCACGCGCCACGAGTGCATCTTTCGCAGAAAACGTTGCCTCCCGATAGAGAATTTTAGCCTATTTTGTCACAGCTATTTCCTAGACTAATTTTTCATTACTACTATTAAAACTACAACTCCTAAAGAGGCAAATGATGATTGACTTATTTGATTCATACTCAAATTTCCCAAACACAACCAGAAACTAACGAATAGCATTTAAAATCGCAAAAACGAAGTTGTTTACAACCACGACTGAAAATCTGTCAGAGTGACGAAAGTGTCTGAGCGGATGCAAAAGGCCCAATATTACGTCACTTTTTTCATCTTGCTGATTGGCCAATGTTACGAAATAAACAATGAAGATGATGCTCGAGAAAAATTTTTTTGGAAAAATATTTGGCCATTTTTGCGTGTTATTGCGGGCAGGATAAAATGACGACGCGGGCCGTAGTTTGGTGATCCCTGACCTAGACCTTAACATTCGGAAGATTTGAGAGGCTAGTAAGCTGTCATACGGACAGCAGGTTAGGACTAGGGATGGCTATATGGCCCAAATTGGGGGCTCCCGAAGTATGCGAATCAAGATGGCGGACATCGGAATGTAATATGTGTACTAGGTTAGGGTTAGGCCATAATTTTAGGTATAAATACTACGGGAGGCTCTTGGCTAGTCTTCGAACTGATAATAGGACTAAAATGAGGAAAATTGGAAAAACATTATCGCCTAACCCTAACCTGTTACCCATGTTACGTTCCGATGTCCGCCATCTTGGTTCGCATACTTCGGGAGCACCCCAAATTGCATATAAAATGGTCTCCTCCATACAGGGCTATTAGGCTGCCATATAGACAACAGGTTAAAATGTGGAAAGTTGGATGGTCTTAATCGCTAAAGAAAAAAAACCTACTCGGAGTGCAAACTGGTGTTGTGGACCATGACCCCTCAGCTTTGCAGGTTCCCGTCTGTCCCCCTTCTAATTTGGAATCATTGCTGCAAGAGTAACGCACCTCTTGATCCTCACTGTATAAGTCCTGCTCAGGAGAAATTGTTCCGTTTTCAAGATTTCGCTTGAAACATGGTGTAGCTGCAAATCAAATGATGAAGAAGTTTAACTTAACCAGCAATGAATTTATTTGTGATTATTTTAAATTTATGAAATTTCTTTTCATTTCGAACAAGGCTTTGTGCAAGCGGCCACTGATACACACTCACTCTAAACATGAATTTGCGCAGACACTGATATACTTGCGCAAGCAACCACTGATACAGCGGCATTTTCTACCCCAATTTATCACCATGACTGAAATGTGGTTTGAACCCGAGAAGATCGGAGAGAACATTCAAATCTTCAACAACTTTGCCATTGACTAAATAAATCTTAATGCACCTACCCAAACCATAACATTCGGAAGAGTTCAATGTTGTTATGTTGTCTAACTCTACATTCCCGGATGACTCAAGCTCAAGTTGGACCTGAATGGAATTTAAAAAAATGAAGTTCGAGCAGGACTGCAAAGTAGAGTCTGATGTAGAAGTTGAAAATGTCTTCATTGATAATTTGGAATAGAACTTTCTAACTATGAAGTCAGCAACCTGGATTACAGATTTTGTAAATGTGATAATCAAAAACCAATTTTAGACAGATTGAGACAAGTATAATTTCTGAGCATTCTCAACAGGCTTGCATGAGCTGAAGTTTTAGTCACAAGATTTGGTTTCTTGGTTTCACTCAAAGTAAAGTAATTAGAATCATAGTTTTTTTTTAATATGGACTACGTGCTTAAATAGATCAGAATTGTGAGTGGATTCTCACAGAGTCAAAAGAAATATATTTAAGGTGTAATGCAGACAGGAAAGGTGATAAAACGGCTAATATGTGTTCCCACTTTGTAAAGGGATTCTAAAAAAACTTCAATTATGCAAAGACATTGATTAAAACCCTCTGCACGCTGATGAAACTAGACTACACCCTACCAAAATCTTGGAAAACTTTTTCGTCATGTGAGATGGGATTCACATCCAAAGCAATTTCGATTTAAAAATATTTTTGCTAACAAATGTGTTGCAAACCTCTGTATCTGTAGAGTGAACTTTCTTTAAAATGAATTTCTCTGTTTTCCAGGTAGTTGAGGCAGAAAACGGCCAGATTGCTTTCCTAAAAATGTTAAAACGAAACATTCCTGTCTTTACATTGAATAGACAATAAATCAAAAATTAATTATGTTCAGCTTTTTCCAGGAACTTCATTTATATGAAATCTATTATTAGGCTTTTGTATTGAGCGCATCAACTTTAACTGCGCCAATCAGTATGTACTAATGTGGAATGAATTGTTATAGTTATTGATAGTTTCAGCAGCTCTTTTCATTACATTGGGCTCAAACGTGATATTCAAAGTATATTTTTTACACTATTCCTTACACTAATGGCATCTGACTAGCAGCTTTTTACCTATCAGCAACTGCTCGAACTCTTGTGCGGAGTGAAACACACGAAAATGCCATGCATCCATTAAGTAAGATTATCTGAAATGACTAGCAATCAAACTTGTTGGATAGCACTATCCGTATATTCTAAGTACACTAAGCCTAACAGTTCCTGTTTGTTCTTGAAGCCTTTTTCAGGGGGAAAATACACAATTTTGTGAATATATGATTCGTCGTTGAAAGTGAAAGTCAACAAATTTTAATCGTTAACCACACAAAGTTGACCGATGTTGGTGTTAAGAGCGCAGTGTAAAAAAAAGAAAGTAAAGACGCTCAGTCATCCCTACTGAGTACCTTAGGCAAGGGTGTGCAATCTGCGGCCCGCGGGCCCACAAGAAAAATGTGCGGTTCGTATAGAAGTGCCAATTTTACAGTGCCAATTTTGAACCTCTGTGCCTGTAACTACTAGAAAGTTTAAGTTAAATGAAGGTGCGGCCTGCGGTTTCACCCGGTTACTTGTATCTGTCCCTTTTGTATTAGGTTGTACACACCTAACTTGGAGTGAAGCCGGCAATGAGCTTCATTTTTTCAAAAACCAAATAGGATGGCTTTGAATACAGTGTTTCAGTGCTTTGATGATGGGGGTTCGAAACATTGAAGACGTAATGCAATCTTATCCTGACAAGGAAAGACTAAAATCGAATAATTCACTATTCTAAAATCAATACAGTATATATTCAATGTATATATTCAAAACAAATAATTCTTTACTGTACAGTGACTTCCTATACAAATTCTGCTTTGGAGTGAAAGCGTCAAATAGTCGGGTGAAAAAATAATTTCTGTCTTAGCTACTCACGTTACAGTTCCATTGTGAGCCTTGGCCACTAGTTCTCCATCAGATGTCCCTTTTATGTCGACACTCATGCATAGTTCCTCATTGCCAGTCAAAGCCTTGGGTAAGGACCTGATTGTACCATTACCAGAAAGAACATAACCTAGGATGAATTAAAAAAAATGAGAGGTGTGAGCTGAGAATCGGTGTAAAGCTCAAGTATTTTCAGACATGGAGTGTTCACGTAACCGCTAGAATCATTTGTAAACAAAGTTACATGCACTCACTCGGAAGTAAAGAAGAATCAACTGTAAGCAAAGCTACATGCACTTACTCGGAAGTAAAGGAGACTCAATTGTAAGCAAAGTTACTGGCACTCACTCAGTAGTAAAGGAGACTCAATTGTAAACAAAGTTACAGGCACTCACTCGGAAGTAAGAAAGACTCAATTGTAAGCAAAATTACAGGCACTCACTGGAAGTAAAGGAGACACAATCGTAAGCAAAGTTACTGGCACTCACTCAGTAGTAAAGGAGACTCAATTGTAAACAAAGTTACAGGCACTCACTCGGAAGTAAAGGAGACTCAATTGTAAGCAAAGTTACTGGCACTCACTCAGTAGTAAAGGAGACTCAATTGTAAACAAAGTTACAGGCACTCACTCGGAAGTAAAGGAGACTCAATTGTAAGCAAAGTTACTGGCACTCACTCGGAAGTAAGAAAGACTCAATTGTAAGCAAAGTTACAGGCACTCACTCGGAAGTAAAGGAGACTCAATTGTAAACAAAGTTACAGGCACTCACTCGGAAGTAAGAAAGACTCAATTGTAAGCAAAATTACAGGCACTCACTGGAAGTAAAGGAGACACAATCGTAAGCAAAGTTACGGGCACTCACTCGGAAGTAGAGAAGTCAATTGTAAGCAAAGATACAGGCCTTCACTCGGAAGTAAAGAAGATTCAATTGTGAGCGAAGTTACAGGCACTCAACTCGGAAGTAAAGGAAGACTCAATTGTAAGCAAAGTTACAGGCACTCACTCGGAAGTAAAGGAGACTCAATTGTAAACAAAGTTACAGGCACTCACTCGGAAGTAAGAAAGACTCAATTGTAAGCAAAATTACAGGCACTCACTGGAAGTAAAGGAGACTCAATTGTAAGCCAAGTTACTGGCACTCACTCGGAAGTAAGGAAGACTCAATTGTAAGCAAAGTTACAGGCACTCACTCGGAAGTAAAGGAGACTCAATTGTAAACAAAGTTACAGGCACTCACTCGGAAGTAAGAAAGACTCAATTGTAAGCAAAATTACAGGCACTCACTGGAAGTAAAGGAGACACAATCGTAAGCAAAGTTACGGGCACTCACTCGGAAGTAGAGAAGTCAATTGTAAGCAAAGATACAGGCCTTCACTCGGAAGTAAAGAAGATTCAATTGTGAGCGAAGTTACAGGCACTCAACTCGGAAGTAAAGGAAGACTCAATTGTAAGCAAAGTTACGGGCACTCACTCAGTAGTAAAGGTGACTCTTTTGAAAGCAAAGTTACGGGCACTCACTCAGTATTACGGGAGACTCAATTGTAAGCAAAGTTACAGGCACTCACTCGGAAGTAGATGAGTCAATTGTAAGCAAAGATACAGGCCTTCACTCGGAAGTAAAGAAGACTCAATTGTGAGCAAAGTTACAGGCACTCACTCGGAACTCGGAAGTAAGGGAAGACTCAATTGTAAGCAAAGTTACGGGCACTCACTCAGTAGTAAAGGTGACTCATTTGTAAGCAAAGTTACGGGCACTCACTTCGTATTAAAGGAGACTCAATTGTAAGAAAAGTTACAGGCACTAACTCGGAAGTAAAGAAGACAGAATTGTAAGCGAAATTACAGGCACTCACTTGGAAGTAAACGAGACACAATCGTAAGCAAAGTTACGGGCACTCACTCAGTAGTAAAAGTGACTCATTTAAAAGCAAAGTTACGGTCACTCACTCCGTATTAAAGGAGACTCAATTGTAAGAAAAGTTACAGGCACTCACTCGGAAGTAGAGGAGTCAATTGTAAGCAAAGATACAGGCCTTCACTCGGAAGTAAGAAAGACTCAATTGTAAGCAAAATTACAGGCACTCACTGGAAGTAAAGGAGACACAATCGTAAGCAAAGTTACGGGCACTCACTCGGAAGTAGAGAAGTCAATTGTAAGCAAAGATACAGGCCTTCACTCGGAAGTAAAGAAGATTCAATTGTGAGCTAAGTTACAGGCACTCAACTCGGAAGTAAAGGAAGACTCAATTGTGAGCAAGGTTACAGGCACTCACTCAGTAGCAAATGTGACTCACTTTTAAGCAAAGTTACCGCCAACCGCCATACAGTGAGCAATTTTTTTTAAAACAAGGCATTTCACATACACTATAGAATACCTGTAACGTCTTCATCTCTGTATTCTCTCTGAAACGTTCCATTAAGTCTCGTGTAGCCGCATGTAGGGTTCGTTGAAGACTCAAAATCACATGTAAGATCGACTGAAAAACACAAAAGAACATTTTTAGAGTCAGAGCCTTGTATTGTGGCCCAAACTGAATATTATTTTATTCTGAACAGGTCTGTATATACGGATGAAATTCACAATCGACATCGGAGTGAAACAATTTTAACTCCGACTCGACTCTGAAGTCCAAAGATAATCAAATGTCGGAATGTCAGACTTTCAATGGTGACAAGTCAAAAATATCAATACAAACTCAAAAAGCAAGTTTGCTAAACAGTGTATTTAGGGAGGCTTGCATGGATTGGAATGAAGTGCAAATTCGTTTTAAATGAGAGTCAGACTTCGAGTAGAGTGGACTAAGAGTAGAATATATACATAGACATAGGCTTGCACGTAATTTACGGATTTACGGAATTACGTAATTATTTGGAGTTACGGAAGGAAAGTTACGAATTACGTAAAGTCGTAATTATTGCATTGAAACGAGCTTTCTTCAAAGCAGTCAATTTCGTCGATTGCGAAAAATGAAAGCTCAACAAGTAGAAGAAGTTAGAGTTCCGGTATTCGCAGCCGTTTTTCTCACTTCTCTCTCTCTTGTTAGGTAGGTGAAGGAAGTCATGGCGCGTTGCCATTTACTAACCTATTATCAACTTCTCTGGCATGGCCAATGTAAATTATTAACGTAGTTAAGGGGGAAGAATTGAGTAGGGCCGTTTGACGCCAACACACCTGGTTTTAATTTCTCCCGTAACTTAACCGTAGATAAGGGATAAAATTGCGTTGAGACCGATTGACGCCAACACACCTGGTTTCAACTTCTCTCGCATCTTATCTAGCATGGCCATGGCCAATGTACATAATAACCGTAGATAGGGGGAAGAATTGTGTTAAGACCGATGGACGCTAACACGCACGGTTTCAACTTCTTCGGGTGAAATGACTAATGAACGCAGGAGATCAATCTTTCAAACATGGTCTATCAAGCATTTGTATCCATTTTACTTTTCTTTATTATTTACTTGTTCCAGTTTTCCGTTACTTATGGTATATATGTTCCGTTTCTATTTTATAGTCACGCGTTTAAATAGTGGGAATTCCCCACCAAGTGTGGATTAGCAATGCCTAACCATTCTTTATTGTTAATATCAACACTTGATATATGGACATGGAATATCATACTGTTTTTGGCTGTTTTATTTCAGACTTGGGGTATAAACAGGAAAATATCCATAACCTTTCAACACGACGATCTTGTGAAATTTAACGAAGAGCTTTCGCGACGAATTGGAACCAAATAAGCGAAAAGAGCGATTGATCACTCGCGCCAATACCTCGCCGTGATAATTAATGTCGCGCTTATCAAATAGCAATATGACGACAAAAGAGAGATTGCGTAATGAACCAACGCAACTTCGTCTTCTCGGCATCGGTAAAGCGATTGAGACGGCAGAGAAACAGCAAAACGACGGATTCCTCGCGGACCGCTAAAAATTTAACTGCTATCATATATAATCAAATATGAGCCAGTGTGTTTATTCTGTGCGAGATCCATTTTCTATTACAAAATCTTGATGTTCTGTTAACGGTTTTATCGTTATATATCAGTCCTGACTTGGCCTTGCTCATGATGTTTTTCACAATTCCTCTCAATATTTCGGCCATATATGATTAACTGTCTTACCAAATGCGGCAACTTATTTTGGTTTATCGTCGACTTGAATACCACCGGCACTCGACCAAACTTGTGTCAATCTTGGCCGATAGGATCGCCGACTTGAGTTAGCAAATAAATGTCGTGAGTGTAAAATAAATGTCACAAAATGAATTGTTTTGCGATATAACTTTGTATTTTCGGAGAAGGCATATCATATAAGTTCCATATTTAAATTATACTCAAATAAATAATATTTGATCTAAATTTATCGCAAATAATGTTATAAACATTCAGTCCGCGAAATGATTAAATGTAAAATGAAGCATGGTAATCGGAATATCGTCAATAAGTCGACATCAATAATTATTATAATAAAATGCTAACAAGGCAGTAATGTCGGATAATGCAGAAGACGCTGCAAAAACAAGTCTTCGTAGCGAGGAAATCGCAAGTATAATCAAACGAGAGAATACGCTCCTCGTTGGTTAATAAATTAGAAACCCGTAATTTTTATTCAGTACAAAGGTGGTTTTAAAAAACTATCGTTTTCATAAATATCCGTATACCAGTGTCGGTAATGATAAAATAAAATTGATCGCATAAAAATGGGACGGTTAATTTGCGAAGGTGATAAAGGTAAACCGAAGCTAACACAAAAGATAAAAATCAGAACAAAATTAATTTGAATTCACTCCTTGATATTTGTATTTAACATCTGCCGCCGGCGTGTAGTACTGCCAAGAATATGAAAACCCAACTTCAATGTCCCCTTCGGAAAAGAAGTGGATTCAATTGGTTGTTATGATAGGTTTAAATGCGTGGAAAAATATCGCAATTACGGGGTCATTACGTAATTGATTTTGCCGTAATTACGGAATTGATTTTTGTCAATTACGTGCAAGCCTAATGTGTACCAGGTTGAGGGTTGGCAATAATTTTAGGTACAAATACTACGGGAGTCACTTGGCTAGAATAAGGAACTAAAAGGACTAAAATAAGGAAAATAGGAATAAAATTATGGTCTAACCCTAACCTACACATACTACGTTCGGTGTCCGCCATCTTGATACGCAGGTTGGTACGCACTTCAGGAGTACCACGGTCACCTCTACAACAGCAAGGCGTAAGAAATCTATGGGGCACGGCTACTCAACTGGCGGTCCGAATCCGGATCTTTCTATCGTTCGAGTCGGACGACACATAATTCTTTATTTTGGATCATGAACTGGCCGATTAAGTGCGTGTTTAAGAATGTCGAAATATAATTTCTGTTAAAACCGAACCCCAGTAATTTTAAAATTTTGTATACGGATCCTTGATATAAATAGTTGGGTAGCCCTGCTATAGAGTTCCGCGGATCCCTGGTTGAAAACAACTGTCTTACAATAAATTTTTCGTAAATATTCATTTAATAGTGGATGTTAAAGACTACAATTGGCAGTGGCGTATCTAGTGTGTGGCAGCCACGGGCGCTGTTAAGGCAGGGTTGCAAAACGGCGAAAATTTTTGATCGTAATATGTTGCAATAAAATAATTTCAAATTGGAGACAACTAAAACTCGCATTTTTACCTAAACAATACCGTACGAGTATGGCATTTCAATAACAGTCATTAGAAATCGTTAACCAACTATCAAGAGACGCATTTTTCAACTTTGCCATGGGCGCCATTTTACGTAGATACGTCACTGTAATTGAGTCATTGGCAATGAGTAATCTGTGTTAGGCTTGCACGTAATTGACAAAAATCAATTCCGTAATTACGGCAAAATCAATTACGTAATGACCCCGTAATTGCGATATTTTTCCACGCATTTAAACCTATCGTAACAACCAATTGAATCCACTTTTTTCCGAATGGGACATTGAAGTTGGGTTTTCCTATTTTTGGCAGTACTACACGCCGGCGGCAGATGTTAAAGACAACTATCAAGGAGTGAATTCAAATAAATTTAGTCTGATTTTTATCTTTTGTGTTAGCTTTGGTTTTTCTTTATCACCTTCGCAAATTAACCGTCCCATTTTTATGCGATCAATTTTATTTTATCATTACCGACACTGGTATACGGATATTTATGGAAACGATAGTTTTTTAAAACCACCTTAGTACTGAATAAAAATTACGGGTTTCTAATTTATTAACCAACAACGAGCGTATTCTCTCATTTGATTATACTTGCGATTTCCTCGCGACGAAGACTTGTTTTTGCAGCGTTTTCTGCATTATCCGACATTACTGCCTTGTTAGCATTTTTATAATAATAATTATTGATGTCGACTTATTGACGATATTCCGATTACCATGCTTCATTATACATTCAATCATTTCGCGGACTGAATGTTTATAACATTATTTGCGATAAATTTAGATCAAATATTATTTATTTGCGTATAATTTAAATACCGAACTTATATGACATGCCTTCTCCGAAAATACAAAGTTATATCGCAAAACAATGCATTTTGTGACATTTATTTTACACTCACAACATTTATTTGCTAACTCAAGTCGGCGATCCTATCGGCCAAGATTGACACAAGTTTGGTCGAGTGCCGGTGGTATTCAAGTCGACAATAAATCAAAATAAGTTGCCGCATTTGGTAAGACAGTTAATCATATATGGCCGAAATATTGAGAGGAATTGTGAAAAACATCATGAGCAAGGCCAAGTCCGGACTGATATATAACGATAAAACCGTTAACAGAACATCAAGATTTTGTAATAGAGAATGGATCTCGCACAGAATAAACACACAGCCTCATATTTGATTATATATGATAGCAGGTAAATTTTTAACGGTCCGCGAGGAATCCGTCGTTTTGGTTCATTACCCAATCTCTCTTTTGTCGTCATATTGCTATTTGATAAGCGCGACATTAATTATCACGGCGAGGTATTGGCGCGAGTGATCAATCGCTCTTTTCGCTTATTTGGTTCCAATTCGTTGCGAAAGCTCTTCGTTAAATTTCACAAGATCGTCGTGTTGAAAGGTTATGGATATTTTCCTGTTTATACCCCAAGTCTGAAATAAAACAGCCAAAAACAGTATGATATCCCATGTTCATATATCAAGTGTTGATATTAACAATAAAGAATGGTTAAGCATTGCTAATCCACACTTGGTGGGGAATTCCCACTATTCAAACGCGTGACTATAAAATATAATAAAATAGAAACGGAACATATATACCATAAGTAACGGAAAACTGGAACAAGTAAATAATAAATAAAAGTAAAATGGATACAAATGTTTGATAGACCATGTTCGATAGATTGATCTCCTGCGTTCATTAGTCTTTTCACCCGAAGAAGTTGAAACCGGGCGTGTTAGCGTTTATCGGTCTTAGCACAATTCTTCCCCCTATCTACGGTTATTATGTACATTGGCCATGGCCATGCTAGATAAGATGCGAGAGAAGTTAAAACCAGGTGTGTTGGCGTCAAGCGGCCCTACTCAGTTCTTCCCCTTAAAACTACGTTAATAATTTACATTGGCCACGCCAGATAAGTTGATAATAGGTTAGTAAATGGCAACGCGTCATGCCTTCCTTCACCTACGCAACAAGAGAGTGAAAAACGGCTGCGAATACCGGAACTCTAACTTCTCCTACTTGTTGAGCTTTCATTTTTCGCAATCGACGAAATTGACTGCTTTGAAGAAAGCTCGTTTCAATGCAATAATTACGACTTTACGTAATTCGTAACTTCCCTTCCGTAACTCCAAATAATTACGTAATTCCGTAAATCCGTAAATTACGTGCAAGCCTAGTACACATACTACGTTCCGGTGTCCGCCATCTTGCTACGCACAATTCAGGAGTACCGTTACCGGTGTCATCTACCCATACGAATAGTAGCATACTAGTATAAACTAATTATTGTTTTGTCAATTTGTAAAATATGTATTGCGGTTATCGGATTAACTAGTAACGACGCTTATGTTATGTCATTTTATGTTGTTGGCGCTATATTCGAATGACAGCTAATTGAATATTATTCGCCGGATTCGCATTTTTCCATGTTTTATTTAAAGCGCGGCTGGGGTGTTTTTCTCAAATCCTACATTCCCACATTAGCGGCTTGGCTTTGTACAAAAGATGCAATATTCGTATTTAGCATAATTATAGCCATGATAGAAGTCTAATTAGTGAAGAACTAATTATTGTGTTGTCAATTTATAAAATATGTATTGCGTTTATCGGATTAACTCGTAATGACGCTTTTGTGGTTGTACGTTCATCACCCTATTCAAATGCCGTTTTTATGATGTTACAAACCTCGGCCGAATATTAATATTTCGACCGTTCCAACGACTCATTCTTATATTACATTATTAACGTGTTTAGGAATAATATGACATCTCTAATAGGATATATTGGCATCTGACAGTGTTCCCTGTAAGAAAATGCTACACTGAGCAAATGTTTGTTTTAACGAGAATGAATATATTAACGCTTATCAGAGTCTTCAAACGATGTGAAATACATTACAACAGTATAATATATTATCGGAATGCAAACAAAGTACAAATTTAACTAGAAAACACTAAACGGGCATTCTAATAGGCTTTAAAAAATATAACCAGCCATGCTTTGAAAACTAATTTTGCAAGCGCGCGAGATTCAAACTTTACTGGGCAAATGGTCTGGTGCATGATGTCCGCCCGTATCGTTACGTAATTTACAATTTCTATTAGAAGATATATTGGGTGATATCCCACCATTTTACGTTTAAGTTAAAAAAAAAGTGAAGGTGTTTTTAAATGAATATACACAGAATTAGAATTAGAGAATACATTCGGAACCACATTAAATTTACGGGCCCGAAAAATTCGCCGTAGGAAATCTCGCTGTAGGAAATTTTGTCGCATAGGCATTTTGCTGTAAAATAAGTATTTTAGGATTATAGGGTTAGGGTATGTACTTAAATAACGAATCTTTTTTTAATAGAGCGATTTTTTTCCAGACAGCGACGAAACTTCCTACGCGGAATTTCCTGCGGTAAACTTTCCCAGAACTTTGAATTTGTAAGCATGCAAATTATTGTTCCGACTAAAAACCGTAACGGCCACGAGCCCAAAACACGTGAGTTTCACGAGTCTTCTCGGTCGAAATTGCGATTCAAGCTACGAAAAATTGCTATGTGTGATACAGATTTTTTTTTTTTTGTTACATCTCAAAAAGTTGGGGGGGGGGGGGTGTTTTATACGAGGAAAATCTCACTTAACAATCAATCTACTCATGGCTCAACAAATAGCAGAGATATGACATATATTACGTGAACTTCTGGATATTTTATAAAAAAAAATGCAATTGGACCCGCCAAAGTTGTGTGCAGTTGCAACCGATGTCTGTCTGGGCTGGGGCTGTCCCTCGGGACCAAGGGCGTGTCCAGATGGGAGCCATAGGGGCAGCCTCATCCAGTATCATTTTGTAGGGGGCTGTACATTAAAGGGTGCTCCAGAAGTATGCGCACCAAGATGTCGCACAACCTGAATCCAAACCGGTATACACATACTATGTTCAGGTGGTGCGCCATCTTGGTGCGCATACTTCTGAAGGTCCCATTAAAGTTTGTTGTTCAGTTTGGTGATTTGAATATTATTAATAGCACAAACATTTCACTCATACTTGACCTTTGATTTATTCATTTTCATGTATAACAACATCTATAATTTGTTCATACCCCGATAATATTTTAAAGTTAGATATGAGGGACATCGTTATCAGAAACTCGCCACGGGCAACAGAAAAGGTCCTCGCTCCTGGCCGCTGCACACAATTTGAGAAACAAAAAACCACGACTTGGGAACGACACGAGAATATCCCAACCTCACGCACGGAATAAAACTTTGGTTATGGAACAGCTTACTTATGTGCTTTTTAGCAAAATGATCAGAACCAACATCTCAACAGATTTACTGACGATCATTAAAAGCATCTCTCCCGGTTCTCCCGTAGTATGAATACCAAGTTTAGATTAGGGCAATATTTTCATTCCGATTTTTCTTATTTTAGTTCTATTACGAGTTCGGAGACTGTATCTGTTAGCCAAATGAATATACCCTCTGTTCATAGGCTTCCGTCCATTTACACAACTTGATGTAAAGTAGGCGAACAAAATTAGTTACCTCCATATTGGTACACACACTTTAGAAGCGCCACTTTTTCGCAATGCATACTTCACGGTCGCGCCCCTCTTTGAAAAACTTATTGAAAGTGGATACGAAGTGTACATGTCGATTGTTTCGATATTATGTTGTTGTTGTTTTTTTGTTTTTTTTGGGTAAAAATCGCTTTTTTCTCTATATTATACTGGACCAATTGCTTTGTAATTTCCAGTGGAGATTGTATTTTTCGCTAGAAGACTATTACTTTTAGTTGTGCGAATGGATTGACACTTATGGACAGGGGGTATGTTCAATTGACTAACACAGACATCATCATGCTAAAGCGTTAGGAATACGCTCGCCACCGCACCTCTGATTACTCTGCGTAGGTTCGCAGGTTCGAATCTCATGCGGGGATGGTTATGTGCGAGAGGATTGCTGGACTCCTCGCCGCCGTAAGGTGGTTCACGTAACCGCTGGTCGTTAACGGCTTCCTTCCTCTATGCTTCCGAAAACAAATAACTAACTAATCCCATACCCGACCTGGACTGGTAACCGGA